CTGTTATCACTGCAACCTCATTTGTTTTTCTTTAGTACACCCTCCTGATATATTCAGCATTCAGAGCTGCCTTCCAGTCAGTCAGCCACTGTTAGTCCAGCTCCTGCTTGACAAGTGCTTAAAGTCAACTAACCAATAAAATCTTCAGCCAAGCTCCAAATGAGCATCTGGCACCGGTTGTTCAGATGTGCTGGTGAACAAAAGCAAGCTATGGGAAAGACAAGCCAGTATTCAGAGATTATTTTTTGGCAATGGGTTTTGCCGTATTATTTCTCTGCTGTGCTAGCTGAAAGGGTCTGCCTTTTGCTTTTTAACCTTATTGTTTCAATGCCAGAATGGCGGACGTATATAACACAAGTTAAAACCAGAGCTCTTAAATGATGTGATATTTTCTTTCATCATGTTAGTAAGCAACCTTGGTAGTGCCATTTCATATAAAGCAGTACAAAAATCACAAGTTCCAGAAATACGATAATTCTAGCAGTGACACAAAGAATGATCTGCTCTGTGGTCTTATTGACTATCAATGTGGTGAAAATGCCATTCTGCAGTATCTAGTTAATTATTTTCTGTTGTTTTTGTACATGTTTTTAACTAACATTAAGCAAAATGTACATTGTGGAACAAACCATCCATACAGGCTGTCATAATTACTGTTTAGCACTTTCACACTTGCAAAAGTTTATTAAAACTTCACGACTCATTAATAGTAAGTGATCATAATCACTTAATAGAAAAGGAAACTGAGCTAATGATAGAAGTGCTGATTAATGCTTTTGACCTTAAGACATGAAATCAAGTGAAATTAATGCCACTGGGTGTTGAAAGTTATTTTCAAGTGTCAATGGTCTGTAATCCACCAGAGAACCCCTCTGACTACACAAATTCTATGTTTCTCAGCAGAAAAATACTCTATACCAAGTGGCATTTTTAACAATCTTACTGCTATATTTCAAGTAAGTACAAGACTGTCTCAATTATTATCAGAATTGCTAAAGGATATGTTATCTGAACATGCATATATGTGCTTGCTTCAGAAGGAGATCTCAGCAATGCTTCATGTAACCAAGGGCCATTATATGCAGCAACTTCTCTTTTTTTTTCTTTTCATTTTTCTTCGTCAATAGGCTTTCTTGGCTTTCTTTTACAAGATCTGATTCAAGTCTTATTCAAGAGGCTATTAGAGTTCAACTCGCCAGCCAGCTCTCTGATCACATCTGACACTTGAGCTCCAACAAACCTAAAAGGACAACTGTTCCTATGGCCAACTGTGTGCTGAAGCATCTTCCTCAGCCTAACATCTGCTTCTGGTGCCCACTGGGGCTGTAGCAAATGGTGACCAGTAAGAAGAGACCAACCCTGCTCTTGCTGTAAGCACCTTTCAGATATTGGAAGAAAGCAATAAGGTCTCCCCTCAGTGATCTTTTCCCCAGACTAAACAGCCCCAGTTCCTTCAGTCTCTCCTTGTAGGGCATATTCTCCAAGCCCTTCACAAGCCTCGTTGCTTTCTTTGGACCTGCTCCAGCACCTCAGTGTTCTTTCTGTACTGAACAAAACTGAACACAGTATTCGAGGTGGGGCCTTACCAAAGCTGAGTACAGGGGCAGGATGACTTCCCCAGTCCTTACTGAGTTTACTGAGGGTGCACTCAATCCCCTCATCAAGATCGTTAATAAAGATCTTAAATAGAAGAGGCCCCAGTACTGTGGCTGAGGGGGGACGCTGCTTGTGGCTGGTTGCCAATTAGATTTAAGTCCATTGACCACGACTCTCTGGGCTCTGTTCCCAGGGAGTAACAAATCTTACTATTCAAGACTGAGGCAAAGGCAGCACTAATATCTCAGAGTTATCCTGATCCTTGGTCACCATGTTGCTGTCAATGTCCAACAAGGGATGAAGATTCTCCCTAGCCCTCATCTTTCTGTTGATGTATTTATAGAAATATTTATTGTTGTCCTTTACTTTAGTGGCCAAGTTCATTTCTAGCTGGCCTTAAGCTTTTCAAATTTGCTCCCTGCACAGCTTTTCTACATACCTTTAATCATCGTAAGTAGCTTGCCCACTCTTCCAGAGACCATAAACTTTCTTTTTGCTCTTAAGTTCCAGCCTGAAGTCTCTGTTCAGCCAGTCCGGCCTCCTTGCCTGCCGGCTCATCTTTTGTTACTTGGGGATGGTCAGCTCCTGCACCTTTAAAATAACTTATTTATTAGAGTAAGTTAGTACTAACGTATTCCCAGCCTTCCTGGGCTCATAGCCTTCCGACTGCACAGTGGCCTCCAGCTCCTACTTTCTATTACCCATGCTGTGTGCATTAGTGTAAAGGCACCTGAGCTGGGCCTCCTTTTGAGCAGCAGTAGCTCTAATTCTAATATCTAATACCTTCATTCTTTAGGTGAAATGGGACTTTTTTTTTTTTTTTTTTTTTTTTTTTCAAAAAAAAGTCACTGTGATGCCAGGTCTTACTCTTCAGCACTATCTACTAAGTTTAAGAGGATGAAGGTTCTGGAGCCTCTCTAAAATTATCTATTCCTGTTCCCCTGCAGAAGTTGAAGCGAGATAACTGAGTCTTTTGCTCAGGAAGGTAGACAGTTTCTAAATGCTAACTCAAGTTGCCAGCATGTTGAAAGTAATTTTTAATAATCTTGCTTTGGTTAGTGAAGGTACAATTCCCTTGATGGGCAGAGCAAGCAATGAAGTTTCTTACAGGTACAAGCAGCTGTCTGGCTAAGCATTAGCGGGCTCCAAGTTCAGTTAACATAAATCAAAGTCACCTCAGGAAGGACAATCTTGTTCTAATAATGTCACTCAATATTTAGCCTACCTACATTTGTATTAATAATAAAGCCCTCGGGTAAGGAGCTACGTACAGCCAGCCATTGATCAGCACAGAGCCCAGCACTGCACTATTGACAAGTATTGTTTTGGAAGCAAACACAGGCTGAGCTGCATTTATAGCCACTGGATTCTGCCCTCTGACAAAAATTTCTGGTCAGCCAGATTAATGCTGTGTTAATGAGGCTTTGAGCCTTGCTGGTTCAGATTGAAGCCAGCAGTTATTTGATACTGTAGATTTGTTCTTTCATTTTGGTTTTTATGTTTGTGTGCATGTGTGACATACCCACATGCCTCCCTTTAAGATGATTTCGATTAATGCCTCCTTTGAAAGGAAAAGGGATGTGGCATACTTGCAAACCCAGAGAAAAATGCCATCTGTGTAGCTAACCTCACTGACAGTGTTGTTGGGTTATTGTTCTTTTTATTTTGAAAGAATATACTATAGCCATTCAGAAGTTTGAATACCAGGTCCTTCCAAAGCAATTGACTACTGGTCTTTATTTTGTAAAGCTACACAATGTTGTTTTGTGGGCTTGTTTTTTAGGGGGGAGTGTTGTGGTTTGCTTTTCTTCTTCTTTTTTTTTTTTTTAATGCATATTGTAGATTTTCTTTTAATAAAGACTGTGAATTATGCTCCCACCTCTGAACAATATATTCTCACCACTGTCTGACTAACCAAGTAAGTAAAACAAACTAAACTAAAACCTTCTGCAGAATTACATCGGACTAATGCTTCCCAGCTCTACTTACAGTTTTCTGTAACTAATATAGTTTTTAAAAAATGGCAGTGGAGAATTAAGGGTTGTAATTTATATTCCAACTCAGAAAAAAAGATATGCACATTACAAGAATAACAGAGGTTTTTTATTGTTGTTGTTAAAAAAAAATTGTTTCAGGAAATGATTCTCCTGTTTCTGAGTGTAAAAAAGAATCCAACATGAAAAAGACAATAACATAGATGGGTTTTGGTGCCAAGAGAATCTGCACAAGTGTCAGGGCTGGCTGATTGCTTGGGCAGAGCGCTTTGCAGAGCAGCAGAAGTGCTTGGAGAGCAGCGATGGCTCGTGGACAAGTGGCTGAGACCACCTCTTAAAATCCATGTCCTAGACAGCTGAGACCCTTTACTGGTTTAATGACAGACCAAAACTGCATCTCTAGAAAACAGCACATGGGCCAGTTTCCCCTTGAAGATATCACCTTTCTTTATTCGTGTTCTTACAGGGGTAATTTGGAAGGACTGTGTAACTCAGACCAGTTGAGTGAAATGATTCAATAAGCAATGTCAAAAGAAAGTAACACTACTTACCTCAGCACTTCTTGGCACTGTTACCTTACAAACATTCCTACCAAAAGTCAGCCGTGTTGCTCATTGGACACCTCACATCGTGGGCAGGGAGGGCCAATTTCCTGGTTCCTACTGTCATGATAACAAGCTGATGCTATGATCGATCTTTCTTTATTCACAATGTAAAGAGCAGTTTCTGTCTGTGCACCTTCCACTCTGTCCCATGGCACTGAGTTAACCATTTGGCTTTTGACCAGTAAAAGAGAATCCTGTTGCCAGTATTGCCAAACTCACAGGGAAGGTCACAAAGGGAGGCTGTGCATGACCAGTAGTAATCACAATAAAAATAAATCAAGCAGCAAAACCTAAGTCAAACCCACAGACCATGCACACAAAGGAACCCATCTGGTTGTGCACAGGCAACTGCCTGGTGACACTGAATGCCGCTTGGGCTCACTGATCCCCAGGGAGGCTGCTGCTCAGTCGGAGCATCTCAAATGGAGACCTCCTTCCGATTGTCTGCACATGAGTAAATGCTCAGACACTATTCTCAGCTTCTAGACACCAGTAAGAGCACCATGAAAGCCTGTTTGCCCACCATCCTTTCCCCCTCCTTAACTCTTTTATCTTAAACGGCCTTGCAACACTCCACTCCCATGCATGCCAAGAGCAGCCAGCCCTCTGCTTCTGGCCCATGGGACTGAGGGCAGGGGTCTGGAGCAGTGTGTGCATGTCCGAGCATAAGCATATGTGAACAGGACCAGCTGGCCTCTCCTGTGCCCATTTCCCTATCATTTCCAACTGACATTCCCTGCTTATTGTGATTTTGTAGCCAACATTCACTAGCACAAAAAGACTAGGGAGCAAGCAAATGCACAGATATTTAAAGGGAAAAGCTTTATTTCTTGTTTTCTTAGATCATAGTGGACTGTAAAACAACAGGGAACAATGAGATCAACCCTTAGTAAGCGTATTTTCTTTTCTTTTTTTTGCCTTTCTTTTGTATAATTCAAAACAGAACAAACAACCAGGAAATATCTGTCACAAAAACATGCTTTTTAATAAAAAAGAGAATAACGTTTATTGAGAGGGATTGTTTGATTGTTTTCTGGATATGTACAATAATAATGTGGGAGGATTATGCTAACAGAAAATGCCAAACATCTGAAGAAGTGTGAACGGTCCAAAAAGCAATGGTCTTAGAGCAAGTCTAAGTCAACAGGAACAAGTGAACAGTGGTTTAAGGTTTTTTTTTTACAACAAATTACCAGCCATTATGACTGAAGACCTGACACATCATAATAACCTGCAGTGAGATGTACAGAAATCCATAAGACAACATAGAATTTACACAAGAAGGTAACCATTTGCGTAAGAATTTCCTCCAGAAAAATGGAAGCATGTTCTAGACAGAAAAAGAAGAGGAAAAAAAAAATATGAAAGAAGTAGGAAAATACTCATATTGGATATCCTCAGTTCACAGTGAATGCCAGTCATCCTGGGTCTAAACACTACCAGTTTCCCTTATCTGCATTCTTTCTGCCTACTCACAATTAATCCCCTTATCATTGTGTTATAGCTAAAATTACTTTACCTGAACCTTCCCTTGCTACTTCCTCTTCACTGCAGCTCGTCAATGATGTGCACTTTACACAACAAAAAATGCAAACTTCGACACAGCCTCAAGTGAAAGAAACATACACCTTCCCGGCATGAACAGTATTAATCACAGCTAATCATTTCTGCACTAAGTGATGCCACACAAAACATCATACAAATCCTGTTAATCAAACTCAGTAGCAATAACTCTGGGGGAGGGGAGAGGATGGAGATTAATAATTGCCACCAGTTATGTTTCCCATATGTTGCAGTGCTCTGAAGTGATTTCTTCCACTGCCTGCCTTCAGGATTTATTTTTTCTTAAAGAGAAACAGTAGATGGTACTGGGAAGTGATAACAGGTTGGTTTTATGCCTCAATTCTGCTGTGACCTTCCCAGAGAGGAGGCAATGTAAAATTCAAGACCATATTTTTTCCTTCAGTTGTTCCTCTGTCTTTATTTTTTCTCAGCTCAGTCTGGGTTATTGTGCTCCCAACTGCCAGATGCAATCCAAAGGACTTTGTTCCACCTCTAGGAGTTCCACCTCTTCCACCTCTACAGTCCTTCCAAGTTCAATTAAGGGTTAATGTGTTCGTAACAATCCAAACCACAAGAGAACATTGATACTGTCATATTATTTTGAAAATTAGGCCACAGTTCCAGCTTTTTTCTGGCTTCTGTGAGGTCAGGAATTAGTGCCACCATTCCTACTTTTCTGTATCTCCACCCAGAGAATTCTGCAGCATGGTAGTGCCTATCTGGTACTGCTTATATGCCACTGGCCACAAAATGGTCAGACAGAAACAGATGGAGATAACTGCTGACCTGAGATGGACTAAGTCACTGAGAGCTGGGTGGCACCAGCCAACTGTTTTCAGCTCACTGGTGCATTCAAGCAGGCTGAATGAATGAATTTAGAAGGAAAAGAGAGACACTGGATGTATGTCATACAAGAATGAAACAATAGAAGGGGTAACATTTTTGCACTTTACCACAGGAGTTCAAATATCCTCTCCTACTATCAAAGCAACGTCCAGCAGAAGAGCCCATAAGGAATTTGCATCAGTAGTACCAATAATGGAGAATTGCTGGGGATGAACCAGCTGACACTGGGAACAGCATAACACCACCTAACATTACTTATGGTATACCCATATGTAACACTACAAGGTGATGGAAAAAAACAGCAAACACAGCAGGGTAGCAGAGTCCCAAGCTGCAGCAAGCAAGGATATGCTCAAGTGCAGTAGCTGTAGAAACAAACAAAGAAAAACAGCTTACCTTCAGAAAACCTCCAGTAGGCAAGATACTTTTGCCTCCAATATCAACCCTTAAATGAGGTCTGGGAAGGGGTGGATCCTGGCTCCACCCCTTCCAATCACTCAGATGAACTGCATACACCTGAGCTCAGCTGAGTTGGCCCTGCCTTCTACCAGGTGCTCAATCACTGCTTGAAGCTGTGACTTAGTGTTTCCACTACACCATACCATCAATTCTTAGAATGAGTGGCTTGAAGAGGCCTGAAAACAAGCCTGGCTTCATTTACTGGAAGATGAATCCCCCAAAGTGCTGCTCAGTTTCATAAGGACTGAAGGTGCTGGGCAGGACGGAAGGCTGTATGCAAACAGGTCAATTATTGTGGCATTGCAACAAGAGGAATTTGAAGATATTTGCCCTTACATATACAACTTACAGGAAATTCTCCTTCTGAGAGATTGAAATGTTGTGTAAAAGAATTGAAGCATGTTAGAATCGCTAAAAGCAGGGGAAAATGAGGTCAAAGGAACCCTTTCTGAAGTGGTATTGGGTTTGGCTGCTGCAATTTAGGCAGCAATTACTTCTAAGTGTATACATGGCAAAGTTCAGCCATTGGCACCTGGCAAAGGTGAAAGAGCCAAAACTGCAGCTGCCCTGGTCAAATGTGCTCAGAGAACTTCAGTGATTAGTTTAGATGGCACGGAATTATAGTACCACAATATATATTAATGAGCAATACTACAGAGTAATTGGTTGACTCTGCTCTCTTTTGAATTTTAGTCTTTGGGCTACATCTTGAATTTCTTGCTCCAGCTTTTATGAATTCCAAGAGGCTGAGCATCTGAGTAAGAGCTGTAGGATTTACCTTCTGATTACTGACTGGCCCACATGTAATGTATTATAAGTATAATCACCCCTGGGTAAACATTCCCAGATGAAGAAAGCATGGAATGAGAGCATATGAAAGTGGCGACAATACTGAGATAAAAATGGGAATTTATCACCCTCCCTGATTTTACCTTCAAATGGACACATCTATATTTTACAGTGTAACTTCTTACCTTTGAAAAAAAATAATTATTATTTAGTGACACTGTTTCTATTTGACAGAAATTCCAAGTGGAAAATACATTAAAAATATTTAAATATTTCTGAAAGACTGTGAAAGTTTAACACTTTTAAATCCTTACTCAGTATCAAACTAAATTTTAAATTCCATCTGGGGAATAGAAACATCATGTTTTAGCTTGTACTAGCCAAACTAGTGCTAAACAGATAAAATAGGAATTTGCAATTTGCTCTGCCTGAAAAAGCGTTGATGGTTCAGCAGAGACATATTCCTGATCACAGCTTCTTTTCTCAGAAGAGGAGGCTGTAATTGAAAAACAAAGCAAAACAAAAACAAACACAGATAAGTTTATAAGGCAAACGTGGATTACTGTTGAGTATGGAGAAAAATGACCTTCCGAAGTTAAAAGGGGAAGCTGAAATAGCCAATAATTGAAATGTCATAGAAAGAACGGAGCTGGTAAGAAAAAGCAAATATTTAAAGATGGGAAATATTTAACAAGTCACTGGATTAATTTCTCTGCCAAGTTCATCAGAATCAAACACACTTCTGTTTGAAGTAATGGACATCAGGTAGAATCTGAATAACCTCATGGGTATAAAACAACCTTGGGGGGCCTCTTCAGCTCAGATGCATTTATTCAGAAGTTTTAATGCAGAAGTCCTGCCAGTGATTGCATATTTTTTAACGAGGTAGATCCACCTTGGTGAAGAAAAATAACAACTGGAATTTATTAAAGAAAGTTCTAATTGCTGTGCAGATATTCCCAACTTTTACTGCTTACTCTGATGGAATGCTGGTCCTAACAGAATCCAGCTCTTTTATTTCAAAGAATCCCAGTGCTAAGTATGAGATGCTCCTGTCACTTGACATACACATGATTTATGTCCCCTCAGGGAGCTGTTCTGAGTTTTGCTCTTCTCCTTCACTGGTTTCTCACCATGTCTTCTCTGTGGAAATATCACTGAGATTAAGCTAAGAATCACAAATTAAGATCAGACTGAGATTTTAAGGTGATTCCTCCTGTTTTGTTCATCTCCAGCCTAATTGCAACCAAACAATGTCTATGCTCATGTTTTCAGTGTACTGACTCAAACTGTAGTTCTCCCCAAATTATGAACAGCCTCATTTTCTAAAGGTTGAGTCTTACAAGGAGTCTTACAACTCATTTTGTTCATTAAAACAAAATAGGCTGGAAATAAGTCTCCAGACAGAGACTGCAAAATGCTCTGAAATGACTAAGAATTCCCGTTTCCCCTAATTCTTCCTAATGACACAGTGGGAATGAAGCTGTGCAATGGGATGGATGGAGGCTTGCTGCACAGCCCTCAGCACCTCTCTCCCCATTCCCTTGGAGACAGCCAGGCAATGAGCGAGCGGACGGTGCAATGAGGGCTGTGCTCCTCTTTCCTGACCAAAACACAGCACAGGACTGCATGCATGATGGCTGTACAGTGCTGGATGTCTCCATCTCCACTGGTCCTCTGTGGGGCAGGGGAAAGCCTTGGTTGGTATTTTTTTTTTCCTAAAATGCTCATCATCCTTGCCTCTTTCTTCATGGAATTAATACCTATTCAAATACTGCTAAAACATCAGCCACATATTTCAGTTCAGACTGGATTTAATCTTTCTGAGAACTAATTTTATGGAGAAACATAAAACACACTAGTCAAGCTATTTAACGTGGCAGTGTATACACACTCCTAATAACACTAATGACAACATCTGTTCTATGACATTAAATGAAAAAGATGACTTGTAAATGTTTATGGTAGTCCATGATTTAATTTAAACACAACTGAATTGGTTAAATTTACAATTTAAACAGTAGGTCATCTGTATGTACATCCTGTATTTGGACAGTTCCTATATTATCGCTACATTGGTAAAATTAATTTGTTAAAGGACTATATAAATGGCAGTCTTAGCTTGTTGGCTGAGCACTCAATACATGGCAGTTTAGTGGCTAGAAGAGGAAAAATAAAACAATCATCTGCATACTTCAGTACTGTAGTAAATGACTGCATTGACAAGGTCACCACGGTAAATTGACATCATCCACACCACATCCAATTTCTAAAAATCCTCCAATATTTTCATGATGTTGTCTGTAAAAACCTCATTAAGTGTCAGACTCTTTGGGTTTTTTCCCTCTTGCCTGTTTAATAAGCAATTTATTTTTTTTAATTAAGAATTCAGTATGCTTTTAATTTAGGAAAGAAAGCTTGAGTGCTCTGTGTTGTCTGTGGTAACATGGCTAGCTTTATAAAACACCATTTCCTCCTCTTCTGTATCCGTAATTGTATTTCCAAAGGTAACTCTCATTGAATCAGATAACTAGACATTTATTTTGTAATCAGAAGCTAATTAGATTGTTGTTTATAGCATAAGTGATCAATAGCTTTTATTCTGGATCACACAGTGTCACAGCTCTAATAATTTATATTAAATACTGATACTGTAATCCAACCAAATGTATAAAAGCTTCAAAAAGCTACGCGCTATACTGGGAGGTTATTAAAATTCCTGATACTGCTTAAAGTGTTTAATGTGCTGAATACAAATGATATTTTAAAGAAAGCTTTGTGGATCAAAGATGGATTTAATAATTGTAATGTTTATGAATTTGTTTTGAAAATATTTTTAATTGGGTAATGTCAGACTTCGGGATTGTAACGCTATGTTCATTTCCATTTCAATAGGTTATACTATCAGCTCCTTTTGACATAAAATAATTTGATTTATTTTTTAAATCATGAATCTCGTTATCTTTTTTTCTGTTGTCACTAGTTTTCAATAATTTGATTAGTTTCTACAAGAAGAGCAATAGGAACCACATGGGCTTTGCTGTTAATGATATGCTATATATTTCTTCTCCAAAAGCAGTTCTGACACCTTTGAAAGTAATTTGCAGTTTCTTATCAGCACAGAATTAAAGAGTAATAGTGTCTAATTTGTTATGTTCAGTGGCACAGAGTATCCTAGAATTCTATCACATACGCAGTGCTTTGAAACCTATATCATGTGACCATAATCAAGAGTACATAAGTGAATTCTATAATTTCTGAAAGTGTTTGCCATTAGCTAAGAAAAGGCTCAAAAGATGAACTGGACAATAGCTTAATGCTCTCTTAGTAAAAGGCCTATTCTGCAGACTCCCAAATTTCATTGTTGTTCATAAAACAGTAATTTGTACCTTACAGTTGTATAGCAAACAACAGATCCAGGCATTTCAAAGCAGGCTTGGGCGGTATTGTGTAAGTCTCAATGTAAATCTGTACATTCAGCATGCTGAACTCTTTGCTTGGTAAAATTAGCTCCTACTCCAGGAAAAACAAAAAACGATTACTGTTGATCATTCAGACACAACTGCTTGTAACAGTCACCAAGCCGTCACAGGAAGGTATAAGGACAGCCCTCAGGAGAAACAGTGCCTGTTTGATGACACTTAAAGCTTTAAAGAATCCCTTCCAGGTACCGCAGAAAGTCACCATGAGCCAGCACATGCTGTCAGTGTCACTGAATGAAAGCCAAAGTGATCAAATCACGTATGCTGGCAATATTGCCATCATTTAAACATTTACGAACAGGTCTTGCAAACAGCTCATCATGTCAACAATCCCAGGGGCTGCAGTAAGGACTATGAGGGTGAGAAACGCCTGTCACATGGGTGAGTGTGCATGATGCTGCCTTGTAACTGGATCAACCATCCTTCTGTGCTGGTTTTACAGTCTCAGTAATAAACCACGGTTTAAATGATATCCTACTGCCTTTTTTTTTTTTTTTTTCCCTCTACAATGTTGTGAGAGCAGTAAGAGAAGTAAGGTGTGACGTTCCTGTAACTTTCTGAGCTGACATTATCAGCTATATATAAACAGATAGTGTTGTTTTAGTAGAGCAAATAAAATGCCTATCTTTTTTATTGAATGAACAGTATAATAATTGGGCTATATTGTCACAATGGAAGCATAGAAGATCAGTGACTGTACAACTGAAACCCTGCAGCAAATTTTTTTTTCTACTGTTCATCATCGAAGTTTATGAAATGTACGTTTATGGAACTTTCACAATGGCTGCTTCTTGTTAATTTAAAGAATCTTCACCCTCGTTAAGGCTAGATGATTATAATTAAAAGATAAATGTTTTGTTAGAAAGTTCTATGCCACACTATGAGAATTTAACTGAAAGACATACATTATACCTGTATGCGAATTAGAATGGCTTCTCAGCAGGGAACGCAGAATCACTTACAGTACATAAACATTTAAAGAGGAAAATGCTAATACACTGAAAGAGTTTAACATCAGTAGCAATGTATCAAATGAAGTTTCAGAAAGTCCACTCTCTGGGAGAACATTCACCATTAGACAAAAGCCTGGCATCCTTGATAATCTGGAGTTTGAGCAATTTGAAAACCAAAACCATCCAATGAGATAAACAGGATCTTAAAAAAACTACCATCCTCCTTTCTCAGGTAAAAGCCAGAATTAATATAATTATTAAAATAATCCAACCAGATTGCTTCACAGGCAAATTTATACACCGTCTCTTTAAAACACTGCATGCCCAAAAGCCTCTTGGGTTTGGAATGTAGCACTGCACCAAGTATTTCACAAAGCCTCTAAATATCACAAGAAGCTTTTTTAGAGAGAAAAAAAAAATTCCAGCTGACAAACTGTTCTAGCAGGAGTGCCTCAGCTTAGCCCCCAGACCTGGAATTCCAGATAAACAACAGAGGACAGGAAAGAGATTTTTTTTTACATGTCCTTTTGCAATGCAGCTACAAGACGACTGATGAGCTTAGGAACAAAAAGAGTGAGAGTGCAACTGTCATCAGAATGAGTGGTGTGCTTGGATAGAAGCTTGTAGGAAGAGCAAATGAATTCTCCGAGGATATGTGACTGGTGGAGACTCCTGGTGTGTTGTCTTTCCCAATAGCATTCTGCAAGACACAATACTTTCCTTGGTCACCATTACACATTGTCATTGCAAACTATTTAAATCCATGCCATGGAATTCATTTTCTCTTTGATCATGTCCCACCCTCCACTGTTACCTATCACTGTCGCAGATTGGAAGATACAAAAGGCACAGAAATTGAACTCAAATGATAACGTTTTAAAGTTAAGTGAAAGGATAAAAGCAACATTAATGTATAACATCAGCACAGCACGACTCAGAAACAAGGAATAAAGTATTAAGAGATCCCTACTTTAACAATGGTTCCACATGTAAAACTTCCTGTTGTTAGGGATGGCATATTTCTGAGCCATCAGTGCTTATCCTGCCAGTTTCAGAAAAAAAATAAAAGAATGCAACTTCTGCATAGTCAAGACAACAACTTCAATAATTAATTGCTTCTGGATGCCAAGAGATAAAATCTAATCCTTGGGATCAGAGAATATGGAGGTTTCCAGCTTATAAATTTTTTTCTTTCTTAAGTCTTCCTCCTCTAATTGTGGTATTTACATGCCTTGTATCTTATGCTAGCAACAGTAAAGCAGTAGGCACAGGAAAGTATGCATTCGTACATTAAAGTGAGCCACTTCAGATGGAGGTGTAACATGAATATTTTTCATTGCTCATCATCCTCAGTAAGAAAAATACAGGTATAATCACAGAATCAGAACAAAGAGCATTTTATATTATGGGGCACACCTGTGCTATGAAACACAGAGGATCTGCACTCTTACCTCATTAAGACAGAGTTCTGCATCTACAGATTCATTGGATTTCCGCTTCTTCTGTGCCTATAAACAAACACAAAACTTATTCCCTGTACATTTATACACAGCACAAAACAATTAGATAAATTCACAGGGGTTGTCAAACTCCTATGATTTCAACAGTGATTTGCACACGATTAGCAAATAAACTTTCCCAGTGTAACTGCATGTTTTCCATTCTGATTTGAATTTAGAATAAAACTTTAAGGGTACTCAGTAATTACAATGATGAGAGCTGCCAGCTGCAAAGAACATGTTGTGTTCTGTGGCCCCTTAAAAATGATGCTGGATGTTCATGAGAAGAAATGAAATATGACAGTTAATAATTACCATAATATTACTGAATATTTGAAAAAACCTACTATGTTTCCAAGCCTTAGGAAAATGCACAATACGTGAGTATTCTATCTTTCAGACTTCTTGCAAGTTCTTCATGTACGCTTTCTGAAACTTAAACCTAGTTTTAATATCTTGCTTGGCTGCCACAGAGTTTCTTCTGAATGGATACAGATAGAACATTTAAGGTCTTTTAACATATATACCTGTAAGTCAGAACGAGCTGTTTGTTTACATTATGCTCACTGACTGTTACATATGGAATATTAATAAATGCACGAACATTTTTGATGATCAAAGCCTACAGAAAATGAATCTGAAATACCTTCATCCATCTTACGATGAGCATACAGTTGGTATTGCTGGATGCTCTCCACACTGGCTCAAGAAGGGAACATTTGTGGTGGCAGCATTGCAGAAAATGAAAACAATAGCATGCACTCTGCAACACCATCAGAAGGTGTTTAGTTGTTTAGAAGGTGTTTAATACTTCCATTGCTCAAGAGAACTTGACTGGGCTGGGAGGCTTTTCGATAAAGGTTTTGGCAAAGATGGATTGGCCTAATGGTGATGTGAGGAAGTGCTAAGCATTCGGATTATACACCTCCCAGAAATTCAGTTCTACATGCAACCATTTTGTTTAATATCTGAGAGCCTTTGGTGCTGCCTAGGGATACAAAATATTCTTTGACCTAATTGCTGATTTTAGAATCCAAATGAAAGAACTGAACTACTCATTAAGAAGCACATTTTCATGACACTTTTGTATATAAAATAGATTTACAAGAGACAATTGGAAACCTAAAACAGCTGGGATTTAAGTGAAACAGTTTGGTTATAGTAAGAATGCATATTGTATACATGTCTACAGCTTTAAAATATATGAGAAAATAATACCTCAATTAATTAATAAAAACCCTCCACAAAATCTCTCTCTTTCATATCCTGTCTTCTAATTACTACATTAATGTGGTTATGGTAAGCATAAATTAAACTATCCAAATGGAAAAAAAATGCCTCAAAGTAAACTTACTGCAAGAAGAAACAACATAGCAGAGCCTTCCTGCTGTGTTTGCAATGATGGTGGTTTCCACACCGACTAGGAAACATTCTTAAATAGCAGCTGGGGAGATTTCAGCTCTCAACTGGATGGCCACAGGAAGATGGATAAAGAAGGAGAAACTGGACTTCAATCCTGATTTTCTTTTATCCTAAACACACTACACTGAAATTGAAGCAAGGGGCTTAAAAGGAGCTATAAGCAGATGTTCAGATCTTAACTGTGTAAACTACAAGGACTGTAAAAACCCTCCAATTTAGCACTGAACCTAGACATTCAGTGCTACATTTCCCTGTCCATAGAAGCATCTGCCTATGGGAAGGATTGTTCATTACTGCGTACACCTGCTCTAGATTTGCAACACTGTGTTAACCACAACCTACTCTTGCTAGCTTGTCACCACACTACAAGTCAACATTTTTCTTCCTCCAGTTCTGTGTTCCTCAGGATAGAAACATCTTTATTTTGTTTATATGTAGTAAAGTCTTCCCTAACTTCATTCAGGCTGAAAAACAATAGTTTACAGCAGCTAAATCATATTTACTTCCGAGGAAACTATTTTAAGGGTTAAATTGACAGGCAGAAACAAAACCAACATGAAAAAAAGTTTTTTCCAATCATTATGATCAATATTCCCTAGCTTTAGCTTAGGAAGTCGCACTTCTCTTTATTCATAGTAATTTTAACATCAACACTTATTCACTTGCAACCTCTGTTATCAAGTCCTACTTTCTTAGAATTGGAAAGTAATTTTAATAATCAGGCAGACTTCTCTGCTATTAGAGAGAATAATTTCTCCCATTTAAAAGTACAGCAAAAAATGCAGCCTCTTTTTGGGGGGAAAAGGCAGAGGGAAAGAAAAAATATCACTTTGAAGAAGGGATGAGACATTATATGCCAAGTTTCAAATTGGAAGAGTACATTTTTACTGTTGAGTTATAAACCTGTAAAAATGGGTTATAATGGAAATGCTGGCATAGGCTGCACTACTGCAATACAACAGTGCATCACTAAATCACAAGTAATGGAAAAAGTCCTATGTGTTGAAGAGAGTGCTATAGAAAGCATATGTCCTGTAATTATAACCTAAAGGGAAAATTATTTCTTCCTCAGTCTTCTACAAAGGGCTCTGCAAGCACCAGAACTGCTGTATTTGTGCCACAGTGATTGAACACCTGATACGAGGTTAAAAATAAGGACTTGGATGTTGTGATGATTGTCCTGGTGGAAATACAACCAAGCAGGGAGATGCACTTGAATTATGAAGGATACCCTCAACCACTGGGATACTCCACAACATCTTCCATTATCCTAAAAAATTAAACAACAGAAACCTGTGCCCATCTTCTACAGCTGCAGACAATTCACACAGTGAGCATCTATGCCATCAACAACTGTGGGAAATGAGAGCAGTTTGTTATAAAAGACTAAAGATTGAGCACCAAACCCCCACCTCAGGCCTCCTACCTGCCCGATGAACCAGGCAAGGAGGTTTCCTGACATGTGTTTGAGGCACCTAATTCTGCAGGAGTAAAATTGCATATGCAAATGGCAAATAAGTCAGTATTCAAACTTACTTACAATTATTATTATGTATCATTCAACAAAAGACAAGCTGATAAAAATAATAATAATAAAAAAAAACCAGCTTAAAATAACTGGTTAAACATATGGAATGAAGTATGAAATCTCTTTCACTGAGGTAAAATAGCATTTGCAAATGACATACTCAGCTGTAACATGCCTCTGACTGTACAATGAGTTACGTGAGATGAGCTGACACTCACATTGGCTTTGCAGGGAACTGTAATTCAGTAATGGGGGCTACTCTGGCAAAGCTGGCCCCATACTGCCAAAATTTTGCACTCACTTAAGCTTTTATATTCTGTAAAAATGAACATCTGCTTTCACAGAGAGTCTTATCTCTGTGGTAGCACAAGCAACACATTATATTTAGATATAATCGTATTCATGCACCTCATGATGAGCTCCTCAGTACAGTGTGCATTTGTCACACAAGCTTAGTTTGGGCCCTTACAACCTTTGGCTCTCAGTGTTCAAATGAAGGCGTTGGGCATGGTAAAGGGTAAGTAGAGAAACCAACTGCATGTCCAGGATAGAAAAAAAATTGTCATGCCTAGAAGCAAAATTTTGCTTCTTTCTTTCTCAGAAAGAAATCTGGATTGAGACCAGGAGAGGAGCTGGTGGATTTATCAAAGAAGAAAGAAATATTGTTTATAGAGGGATTTCTTATCTAACTTTCATTTAAATACTTACTTAAAATGGAATCTGCGAACCTCCATCTTCCTCATATCCCAATATCTCCTAAATGAGTTTATGTGTACAACTTTGATTGACACATGGTAACCTAGAATTCTCTTGCCCAGCACCTAACAACTATTGCAAGATTTCCCAAACCTAATAACTCTGCTTCCCATACCCCACATTCCTCAGCCCCCATCCTTTGCAAACACTATAGGTATGGATTTATTCCCAGAAATGCTGTGTTGTAATTATGAATCCAGCTTCTACAAATCACAGCATTACATGGTTAATAAATGCATTAAACATTAGAGCAGTATCTCACCAGGAGTCCATACTCACATTATTTATAGCTTGTCATCCAGCAGTATTTTTATATATCCACAATAGCATTCACATCTATGTTACAGCAAGCAAAAGGTCTGACTGGGGACTGCTCCAAATGGAGGTAAGCTTTAATTTGGAGGGAAGGAGAAGGATGTAAAGGGAACTGAATGCACTGGACCTGAATGCAAACAGGCACAGAGTGAGCAGCTGAGTTCAGAAACCAGTCCCTTGTGCTGTCAGCTACACACTTTGGGCCTTACATGCCTTATGGAACTTATTGCTTAGACAATGCAGAGAGAGACAACAAAAGTATCATTATGACAGATATCTGCTGTATGGGTTGCTTTTTTGGATAATTTTAATGAGCGTGCCTCTATCCTCTCCTGAGATGCCTGGTTAGCTTTGCTCATATTAACAAGACCTTCTGAAAAAGAGGGACAAATTTCCTGGAATACATCCTTCAAATGACCACCCTTCTGAAGTAGCTCTAACAAATGAGGGTGCACATTCTTTTCTGTTCTTTTCTGGTGTTGATTGGAGAGATTTACTATGCAACTGAGCTGTTTTTCTAACAGCAGGACACAAACAATAAGCAGAGAAATACACAGACTGTAAAAATGCAATCACTTTAACTCTTCTGTGCACACTAAGTGGTAGGTGCATCTATCACAACTGTCAATAGTATTTTCTTATTAGCACAGTAGTACTGTGCCTCACTGGAGTATAAATTACCTTCAACAAGGAAGAGTTGCAAGAGTAAGCAAAGTGCAGGTCAGAGACACAGGCCACTAAAACAGGGATCCAATTCAGCACCGAATAATTCTGAAGCCCATACCACAGAGGCAGAGTACAAAGATATTTAAGCTTTTGAAACAATCAGCTTTGCACAAGCCTACAACAAAGAAGTCAGATCCTTTTTTCTGCTTGTTATTCTTTCTCTTTTTCTCTTGTGAATCAATCCTAAAGATGCAAGCTTAAGGCATAAAATTATCGATGGACATTCTGCTCAAAAGCACCACAGTCCTGTTATTCTATTTCA